TTCTGCTGACCCCATGGGAATTTCAGCATCTAACTAGAAAATCAAGTGCCTAGCCACATTTCTTGATCTGGCATCAAGGAGCTAAACTTGCAACAGACATTACCCAGTTGTGGGTAATCAAAACTGTGGCTCAGGTTCCCCAGTGCTTTTCTCAAGCTTGGCACAACCTTTGAGAACTGCATTGTAGTAGAGGAACAGCAGTATTAAGAGAATTGACCCTGGAGCGAATATTCTGCCACCTCATCCACATCCTGCATGTTCAAAGCAATGATGTCTCCTGACAAACATGGTCAGAGGAGTGCTTTGACTGTGAACCCCTGCAACTGGCTGCCTCGAAAACTGGAAGACTACCACAAGATCTATCAAAAATTTTCTGGTTCATAATGTGTTAATCATGGGTGCGCAGGGACTAGGGTCAGAATGATTTGTTACTCATGAGAGCACATCTTCCTTTCTTCTTTCCAGATGAATATGCCCTTGCAGAATACAAAACACCCTGCTCCCTGCCTTCCATCTGAAATCAGATATGTGACAAAAGAGGTAACAGTTCAGAATGTATCAGGCAACCATTTGTAGAGGAAGAAGAGAATAAGAGACTTGGTTGTTTCTGGGAGGGCAATGAAAAGCACATAGAAAAATGAGGTGTAAGTAAATCTTAAATTGCAGTAGCTCAGAATGACTCATTTTGGGCCCCAATTCAAAAGAGCTGTGGGTCAGTGTGGATCAGAAACTCCAGAACTCCAGATAAAGTGTTTTTACTAATGAGTGACATACTGTGCAATTGTTAACCATTGAGCATCCATCTTCTTGGAAATTCATGACATATATTCTAGTAGGAGCTTTGTATAAATGTAAACTCCTGAAACATATATTCTTGGTCACAGATTCATCTTAGGAAATCCAAGATCAGGAGAATGTTCTGCTGCTGCTGCTACTTCTGCAAACTTGATTTGTTTTGGTCTTTCCATTTATTTTGAAGGAAGATTCTGAAGAAATTACTTTGATCCTCTTCTTTTTCAGTGATTGAACTGAAGAAGGTATAGATGTTAGCATTCTAGGCACAGGAAGACAACTGTTACGCATTTTTTGCCTCTGTTTAGAAAGGAAGTTTTTCTTCAGGTTAACATCTCATTTTACTGCTCTTTGTAATAAAACCTTCTGATTGACAATGGTAATTGTCCTGGTCTCCACTCCTTGTTGCATCTAGAACTGGGTGCTGTAAGGTTTCTTACAAGCTAAAATATTCATACCTTGGACAGGACTGTCAATGACAATGACAACCTGACATCAGCGACATCTTGTGGCACAGACAGGGTTGAGGCCCTGGCCTACATGATGGAAGCTTTCTGCCCAAAGCAGAGAAACTAGAAAGCTGTAACGCAGGAACTGTGTGAAAAAGGCTGAAGGAGGAATGGTGGATCCAATGATGCCCTTGGAGAGAGAAAAATGAGAAGATTTGGAGGGACTGAAAAATTAAGAGAGCCACAAAAAGTTTATGATGGGGTGGCAATGTATAAGAAATATCCTGTTGTGCTCTCTGCATTTAGGTGAACAGGTAGAGCAGACAGCCACAGTGAAACTAATCCTAATGCACTGAGCAGTGCAGGAACCTTTGTGCTAAGGGGCAGCCATGACAGAGACCCACAGGCTCAGTAAAATCCCAGAATGATGGAAATCTGGAATCTGTAAAACCATGAGCAGTGTACCAAGATGCATGATTCAGGCAACAGAAGATATCTAGACCTGCCTGCAGACCTATCCATCAGGTCTTCACTGAACTTACTGCTGTAGTTCAAAAAAAAATTACTAAATGTTAGTTCTTCTTGCAGCTAAAAGCAATCACATATAGGTCCTTCCTTGTTCTGTAAAAGGTAGTCATGCAGGAGATTTCCCTAAGGAAAGACCCAAGGGGTAGCATAGAAACAAATGAAGGCCATTTTACATGAAAGCTGTAAAAATATAACCTATCATCCCACAAGCAACTTTCTTTATGTCTTTCACCAACTTTCACACACTTTTAAGAAATAACTGTAAAGTGCTTTAACACCAGGTATTTCTGCTGCGATAAGATCCCAGAACCTAAAGGTCAGCAAAGACTTATTGACATCACCATTCTTGCTGCAGCCAGGACAATAATGTGTCACTTGTCCCTGACCCACAAAACCACAAAACTTCCAGCCACATTGTGTAAATCGAGATTTTCCTGCAGGGTTTTTTTCCTGTGAGTCACACATTAACATAAGCATATGTTCGTATAGCTAAAGACAAGGAGCCTACTCATCAGTTACTCCCAGTACAGGTATTTCTTGGCTTGCAGTTCAGTGTTTTCTGCCTGTTCAGACATGCCGTAGGGTTCCTATGCTCTGATATGAGTTGGGTTATCACAGCTGTCTTTGGCTTAGTCAAATGCAATACCCTTCATTACAAACCTTGCCACCTCTGGGAGCAAAGGGATTGTGAAGATGTGAAAAAAAGTCACTGATCTTGGCTTGGACAGTCCTTGTGAACCAAGCTCTGCCCAGGCACTTTCATGGACAAAGGTAGGATGCTGCAAAACTATAGAGAAGAGGCTTTTTGTAGATGATGGGATCCCAATCCTCTGGGACCTCAAATCACATTGCATTTAAACCAGCCTAGCAAGCAGTTATTGCTGAACAGCATAGTTTTGGCCCTGCTCACTTTTTTCTGCCTTTGCTCTTATCCATGCTCTCCTGACTCTTTGAGTGGTGCTTAACTTCATCACACACAGGCCAGGTCAGAGATAGGGACCCAATTCCAAACTAAAAAGATTTAAGTGGAAAAAAAGTAAATTTCGTCCTTCTACTTGCATGAACAGACTTACCATGGGGTCAGAGAAACAGTAGGAAGCAGGCAGGAAAAAAATGCACTTTCATTTTCAGCAAGGCATGGACACAGTTCAGCTGCATGAGAGACCCATGCTACAAATCTTCGGAGCTTTTGCAGGAAGCTGAGCAGCCAATGTGTCAGCACTCCACCCCCCACCCCAGCTTACCTTCTTGCAGCACACTGCTGCCTCTTTACGTGCTCAGCAGCTCCTGCTTAGTGTCACAACTGTGATCTCCAGTTTGTCTTGTTGTAACAAGTCTTGAGTTTCTCTCTCTCTCCATCCCAGCAACCAGATATATCTTCCTTTCCATAATTTGCCTGCTTGTGTTTGTGGGCTGAAAGACAATGTCCTGACCCAATTTAAAGCCAGACATCGGTAGTCTCTGACAGCTCAGGTCACAAAGGTGGTAATGGGACTGCATCTTCACAGAATCACAGAATTATTGAGGCTGGAAAAGCCCTCTGATATCACCAAGTCCAGCCTATAGCCTAACGCCACCACATCAGCTAGACCTTAAATACCTTCAGGGATGGCGAGGCCACTACTTCCCTGGGCAGTCCATTCCAATGTCTGATCACTCTCTCCATGGGGAAGTGCTTCCTAATATCCAACCTAAACCTCCCCTGACTCAGCTCCAGTCTGTGCCTTCTCATCCTGTCACAAGTTGCCTGGGAGAAGAGCTCAGCCCCACCTGACTACAGCCTTCCTTCAGGTAGCTGAAGAGAGTGATAAGGTTCCCTGCTGAGTTTAGCCTGCTCCAGGCTAAACAACCCCAGCTCCCTCAGCCTATCCCTGTAAGACTTTCCCTCTAGTCCCTTCACCAGCCCTGTTGCTCTCCTCTGGACCTGCTCCAGCACCTCAATGTCCTTCTTGCAGTGAGAGGCCCAGAACTGCTCACAGGACTCGAGGTGAGATCTCACCAGTGCTGAGCACAGAGGCAGAATTGCATCCCTGCTCCTGCTGGCCACACTATTCCTGGTACAAGCCAGGATGCCATTGGCCTTCTAGGCCACCTGGGCACCCTGCTGGCTCATGTTCAACTGGTTGTCAACCAGTACCCCCAGGTCCCTCTGCTGGGCTGCTCTCCAGCCACTCCTCCCCAGTCTGTAGTGCTGCCTGAGGTTATTGTGGCCAAAGTGCAGGACCCTGCACTTGGTCTTGTTGAATTTCATGCCATTGGCCTCAGCCTGTTGACCCAGCCTGTCCAGGTCCCTCTGCAGCTTCTTCCTGCCCTCTGGCAGATCAACACTCCCCTCCAGCTTGGTGTCATCTGGGAATTTACCAAGGGTGGACTCAATCCCCATATCCAGGTCTTCAATAAAGATGTTGAATAGGACTGGGCCCAGTACTGATCGCTGGGCAACACCACTGGTCACCAGGCACCAACTGGTGCAGCACCATTCACCATCACTCTCTGGGCCCAGTCATCCAGCTAAGTTTTAACCCAGCGAAGGGTGCGCTTAGCCTGTGGTAGCCTTGGTTCCTGAATACAAGGTACTATATAAAATTCTTGAGAAATAGTCTGAGCTGTGGCATTTCTATTCATATGAAAATCTCCTCTTCCCTTCTTCTCTTCTCTTCTCTTCTCTTCTCTTCTCTTCTCTTCTCTTCTCTTCTCTTCTCTGCTCTGCTCTGCTCTCCTCTCCGCTCCTCTCCTCTGCTCTCCTCTCCTCTCCTCTCCTCTCCTCTCCTCTCCTCTCCTCTCGCCTCTCCTCCTTGGAAATGCATTGCTATTCCCTCACAAGTCCTATGATGTTGTAGTTGTATGCAATTTGAGCTGTGCTCTGAAGACATGAAGCACATAAAATGAGCCAAGTCTACCAAACAATTAAACCTCTCTCCCCACAAGGTCCTGGTATCTGCTGGGTTTCAAATCTCAGCCATTTCCACAGTCTTCTCTGTGAAGATGTTTCCTACACTCAAGGCCAAAGAATAGCTCTGGACAAGCTGTCTCTGCTTGGGCTTGCATCAGCAGATGCAGACAAATCCAAATTCTGCTGCCCAAGTCTGGGTGGGGAAGACATGAACAAGCTGAAGCCTGGAGGTTAACTGGCCTATTTAGACAGGTCCATAGTCTGCTTCACCACTAGCTACTCTCACTTGTGTCAAGTCACCCACAGACTTGGGTCTTGTGTCCAACAGAACAGAGTACTTCACAAATAATTTCTATCACAATTGAACACCCTTACCACTGGATAGCTAGCCTGGTGGAGGCACCAGCACATACACTGAACCCCAAAATTATCTTCCTGGGTGGCTCTTGTGTGCATTTGGAGAAGGCCTGAGATATGAGAAGAGTTTCTGCAGATCACCTAGCAGAAAGGTTTTCAGTTTGAGAGCATCACTTGGGGTCCAGACAAAACAGTGCAACATCACTAGGACCTAGGAAACCTTGGGAAGGAGCAGGACAGTTGCTCTAAACATCTGAGGATCTGGGCATAGGACCATAAGGCTCTTTGTGAATCCTGGCTGATGTGAGCTAAGTGCCTTAATAACCTCAAGACCCTGATCCCATTCTCTGACATTTCTCTCAGCTTTCTAACTTGGCATTTGAAAGCTTTTCATGTAAGTAGGATGCATTTGGTGAGCATGCAGGTGAGCCTGAAGGGGCACTTCAATGCATAAAACAAGATTTATGAGCATACGTCATTCCATCAATATTTTTGGGTA